ACTTCTTTTTTTCTTCGTTCGAAAAAGTCACAGATGGGAAATCGAACTAAACTTTTTCCCCGCAAAAATTTGGCCCACCATGTTATTTGTTAAGGAAATGGCCAGATGTGGGGCGGATGGAAAATCGAGTTTGAGGCAACGCATTTAGGTACAAGTCCAGGGTTCGAGGAGGACCGAGAGGAAGTGCTGGGAAGAGATCAAAGTTGAGGACATCATAAATCGAGTAACGTAGAGGTCAAATATGGTAAGACGTCATCCACGAACTTTAGGGTATAAACAAGGGAGATTTGAAGCGATTTTAAGAACTAACTACTTGATATAACAACAAAAAAATATTATTAAACATGAATGCTGTATACTAGTGTGTTCGCAAAGTCGCTGGAGTGATTTTTGGCGTTTGCATTGTGCAGAAAAAGGGCCCAGCGATAACCCAAAAAAGCCTACTGCCCGGTTCAAAAAGCCGGAAATTACACAGTACAAAGAAAGTAGTAAGATTGGGCAATTTGAAAAAAATCGATTATCCCGCTATATTGGCCAGCAAAACAATTATATAATAAGAAAGCTGCTAGCCTATCCTCATGAAAACCAGTTGGTTATTTCCCTCAAATAGCCCTTCACCAGCCAGGCTCTTACAGTCGCGGACCTGATCCAGTGGCAAAAAACGTACCATTTTGCATCCGGGGAGTATCAAAAATTCAGCAAAATACCTCCTCTCCAAATGCAAAAAAACTGCGATTTCAAAAAAACGCCCACTTTTTTTTGTGAGGGAAAGGGCGCGCAGTTCAAAACGGCGTTTTTTTTTAGTTGGTGAGTGAGACATTTAGCCACATTTTTGAAACTTCCCGGATGCAAAATGACACGTTTTTTGCCACTGGATCAGTTCAGTCACTGTAATATCATACGTATTATAAGCAAGTTTACAGTTCATCGTAATGAAAACCTGTTGGTTATCTCCCTCAAATAGCCCTCCGCTAGCCAGACCCTCTAGTCCGCCCAGGGACAAGTCGCCTAAATGCGACGCTCAGATTTTCTTTTAATTTTGCGCACGCTTCAAGCACATCCCACGTATCGATATTAATCTGTACAGATTGTAAATCCCTTAGCACAGGCTTCATAGGCGCCACCGAGATATTCAACTGTCTTGGCGGCCGAAAGAATGCGCGAAATGCGGAGAGCGGTTACAGAGTAAAAAAGAAAAGCGCTTTTTTGGTCATATCTTTGCCAGTTGCACGCAGAAAAAATTGAATTTTCGTGGAAACATTAGGCTCTACGGTAGGAATAAAAGATGAAACTTTATATGTCAGAATTTTCGGTTGTCTTCAGCGAGCTATGTATTAGAAAGAAATTGACCCAAATTATGGCTAGAAAATTTACTGTCTACTAATGTCCCTTCGACAAAGTCCGCATAGATCCCATCACATAAATAGCCAGTGACCACCAACAAATAAACTGCCCCAACACAACATGAGAATATCCGCTGCAAATTCAAGTTCTATTGTATCGGAAAATCCGCATCCACTTATGAAAACGGAAAAGCCCTCCGCTTTTATTGTTGCGCAATTACAATCAAATAAAATCGTGTTGAGGGAAGCGGTCAGATCACGTTTAATACGTCGATTACAATAAACAAAAGCAATGGAAAAAGTAGGCAACTGGTTTTGTGGATAAACTGAGATAGAGATGGTGTTCGACTCGTAGGCTTAAGTGAAGAAAACTGTAAAAAATAATAGTGTATTGCGACATTTGTGTAATTCACTTTTGTCAGCAATGTCATAAGAAATTGCAAAAATGACTGGTAGATAATGATAACTCCATTTCTGGCGGCCCACACTTGCAGGCAGCTACAGTGGGGGAGCTGATCCCGTGGCAAAAAACGTACCGTTTGGCATCCAAGAAGCATCAAAAAATGTGGCAAAATACCTCCCTCTCCAAGAGAAAAAACTCCAATTTCAAAAGTGCGCTCTTTTTGTGGGGGAAAGAGCGCGCCCTTCAAAACGAAGTTTTTTCACTTGGAGAGGGAAGCATTTTGCCACGTTTTTGATATCTCCCGGATGCAAAATGGTACTTTTTTTGCCATTGGATCAGGTCCCCACTGCAAAAGACCACGGAGATTCAGTGGGCATGTTTGGAAATCAGCCAGTACAGGGTGGGGCATCTTTGTGGCCCGATTTGAATTGGCTATAACTTCTTTAGTTTTTGGCCAAATTTTAAAATTCTTTTTTTCCCTGAATCGTCAGCCAACCCCATTTTGTTTGATACCAAATATGTTATACATAGGTAAGTGTCATCTACAGTTATTGGATTTATTCTTGGAGTTCATTTTTTTGGTCGTTTTTCGGTTGTTTTTTCGGTCTTTCCCGGTGTGTCCGAAAATGGAGTCCGGTGTGGAAGAAAAAGCTTGGTCTATGGTTTGGTATAGCAAGTACGGTTCGGCGATAAATTTTCAAACGGGGATACCGCATGAAATACGGACGTAATGCCTAACCTCCAGATCGCAAGACAATTCGACGTTCGTGGAATAAGTTCCTTGAGACTGGCAGCGTTAACAGGAAACAAAAAAAGCAGGAAACATGAGTACGAAAGGAGCTGAAAATTTAAGAAGTTTTGTCAAAATTCAGAAAAAAATCCGCATATGAGATCACGAATTTTGGCCAGAACTGAGGGAATGCCTTCAGCAAGGACCATTCGACGAACTCTGGAGGTTGATCTTCACTTTTCTCTGGAGGTTGATCTTCACTTTTGTTCTTATTCTCATCGTCGATTTTCGGGAGGGGAAATTCCACCGTATTTTTCTTCCGCACCGTACTCCATTTCCGGACACACCGGGAAAGACCGAAAAAACAACCGGAAAACGACCGAAAAAATGAACTCCCAGAATAAATACAATAACTGTAGATATACACTTACTATGTATAACATATTTGGTATCAAACAAAATGGGGTTGGCTGACGATTCAGGGAAAAAAAGAATTTTAAAATTTGGCCAAAAACTAAAGAAGTTATAGCCAATTCAAATCGGGCCACAAAGATGCCCCACCCTGTATTTTCTTACGATTAGAACAGAAAATTCAAAAGATAGATTTGGCAGTTAGATGTTGCGAATTAACTTTCTTAGTGTATAAGGAGCTTGAATAGTCACTATAAAGTTAACCAGGCATTTTTAAAGGTTCAGAAAGCATTTTTTGAAAACAAACTTCCATAACTTTGAAAGCGCTGGATAAATTCAATAGATTCGTATATTTATCTGTACCAGCCGGTTACCAATGCAAAATCTATATCATACTATGTAGATTACGGTAGAAAAATCGTTCCCCTGGCCACTGAAAATTTGTCTATCAGTATGTCGGGAAAATAATGAGAAAAATATCGCATCAAAAATTGCATCGCCGCGGAGAAAATATTTAAATTGTGTCGTGACAAATTGCTTTTCATTTCAACGACGCGATTGGCACAGCGAAATTGTGCTCATTATCTTTCCGACAGCCTGATATTTCTCTAATTTTGTGACCACAAATTTTCAGACGTCATCAACCACATGCTTCCTCTAATTTTCTAATTTCCGCACCACACCTTAATTATCTTTTATCTGCAAAGCTACCTTTTTCCATACGATTTTGAAATTTATAACTCGTAAAAAATTAGAACCACGGTTTTTTTTTGAGAGCACAACTGAAGCCGGAAGCTTATCAGTACAAATATTACGAATCGCAAATTTGAAAGAACCAAAAAAACTGCCTTGTAAAAAGTCGCTGAAATCAATTTTTAAAGGCTCAAAAATCAACTCGACGAGCAATAATTGTCGCTTTTTAAATACCGATTACCTTCGAAAGCGGAGCTCTTTTCGCTTCCGAAGATCCGGAAAGAATGGCGCGGGTTTTCCGCAAAACAATAAAGCGCACGTTCTTTGGAGTGTGAAAATTATTACTTGGTGGTCGAGAAGTCTTGACTGCACAGAGCCGTTGCCGCATATAGCTCACGCGGTGATCGTAGGCCATAATGAAATTATGGCATTTCAGTCTGTCGGGAAAATAATAAGCACAAAGTTACTACGCCGATCGTGTCGCTGAAGTGAAAAGAAGTTTGATTTTGCCGCGACACAGTTCATTTTCTCGGCGGCGATGCGATTTTCGATGCGACAAAGCGCTCATTATTTTCCCGACAACAAAAATTTGAGAAAAGATATTACTCTATTGAGGAAATAATGTGGATTCATCAGACCTTGAAATCGCCATTAGCAATGCTTTGCGATGGGAAGCCAAAGCCGGAGATTTAGAGCTCGACTGCGGAGAGCGAAACCTTTTGCAAAAATCCACATTATTTTCCCGACAAACTGAGATTTGCTGGTAAATATTGGTTTATATCAGCCTGTCGGGAAAATAATGTGGATTCGTCGCCCCTTGGAATTGAACATCATCGCTTTGCAACGGCTAGCCATGGCTGGGAATTCGGCGAAACGAAACTTTTTTGCAACGAATTTACATTATTTTCCCGACAGGCTGATAACATAAAAAACTGCAAAAAGGTTTAAAAGCTACCCTAGTTCTTCATCCACAAAGTTACTAGAGTGATTTCAGCGACTATAAGCACCCTGACCTTTTTTGCACAGTGCATGCCGCATAGATCACCCAGCGACTCATCTAGCGTCCATTTTCCCCAAAATCATGTAAAAGTATAATTTTGCTTTCGGAACACCCCAAACTAAGTCATCAAGTCATAACCCCTCCATTTTACGACCCCTGTTTTGACAAATGGCGGGCACTGATAACAGCGGTCTTACGACGAGTGACTTACTTACTAATCTTGTTTACTTTACTGCTTACTGCCCTTATCGGACAATGAATGGTCAGCGGAAGCAAGATTGGTTCAAAACTCTTTTGTTTGTTTTGTAATCGGCACAACTGCTGATAAATTTTAGCAGTGTTCTCTTTTTAGTCATCTTTTGTACACGTAGTAGTCAACATAAAATGAAGAGTTAAATACTATAAAGCTAACCAAGGAAATCAGCGTATTTTACAAACTCTCAACATACCTTGAGTCAAGCTGCTGTTACTGGACGACAACGTCTTCTGCACGGCGGCTGGCAAAAATCTTTTCAACTCAATTAGTCCACTCAACGACGACTTGCGTGGCTTCTCCTCCACGGACCCCCTTCGCTCCGGCGGACGGAGATGTGGCGGTGTGATGGCTGAAGTGCTCTGTGAGCGGCGATGGCTGGCGTTGCGGGCCAATTCAGCCGTGGAGCTGCGACGACTTTGGACGAGATGAGTTAAGGAGCGCCATTTAACGGGCGAGTTTTTGTAGGCCTCACCGCTGGAGGGATGCGGGCTGAAGGGAATCATTTGGAGATGAGGGTGATTTTTACGGAGCTGTAGCTAAGTGGACAATTTTTCAACGATGATTCTTATGTGTGTTTAAAGCTGATAGCCGGTAGATTATAATAGATTATACTGCGGAAATGTAGTGCTTTCAGCGGTCCCAAAAATTGCAATAAAACTTCGACAAGTTCAAAAATCGGATGAGAAAGTTAAAATCCAAAAAATCCTTGATTGTTGCAGTGATGGTAGACAATTTTTTCGGCCGATATTATAGCTGATTTCTTGTAGATTCCAACGCCGGCTGACTTATTGTCCAGTGTCTTCTCACTCGCCAGATATTTAGAATCAAAGTTTGACCACAGCTCAATTTACTGGTCAAGTATAATATGCTGATTTCTTCAGACTCCAAGCTGATTAAAGCCAGCTGATACCAGCTTTGGAAGCCGCAATCACCACAAATTCCTATAGGATATAGTGTATTCTAATATGTATATGAAACCAACCAGCAGAAGAGCTCCTTCGGATCTGAATCAAATTCCAAAACAGGTTTCTCCAAATCCCCAACTATCGATTTTTCACCAACTTTCAGATAGTTTTTTTCAAATACGTTTCTTTTTTAGACAGCAAAATAGACGCAGAATATACTTGCAATCTGTTTTTGGCAATGACTTCCGCAAAGCCCCCGTTTTTGGGCGTTCCACTTGGCCCAAATTAGCCGTGGGTTTACGAGAAGATCATGGCCGCCAAAATTGGCCACTATTAGAAGGGCGAGAAAACAGCGAAGAAGGCGAATATTGGCCAAGGTTAGACGACAATGCTGGACAATTTAGACGGACAAATGAACTTTTGCCGCGAGGAAAAATAGGTTATATTACAGTAGACATGAGGAGAGGGATAGGAAAAATTGCTAAATAGTTTTCGCCCAAACTTGAAGCAGATTTTAAAAAAAGTTGCCAAAGGCAAAAAAAGTAATTTTCACACAAAAATTTTGGCGGGAAAATCAAAATTTTTTGGTTGGAAGTTGCGGAGAATTTGCCATTTTTTTTTGAAAATTTTAAAGCGAGAATTTCGGGGCTTGGTCTACCTAGCAAATACAATATTACTGCTAAAAATTAATTCTTTCCAAGAAAACCCCAAAAAGATATAGCCTAAAATGTCTTTTCTCTGGCCGTCTCTCCTCATTTTGCGTGCTCTCTCGCAAAAATACCGTTGAATATCTTGGCTGCGCTTTCAAATTGCGGGCTAAGGTTGTCAAAAATTGTCACGTGGCTATTTTAAAGTAATACATTTAAAAAAAAGTTAAATTTACACCTCCAGTAATTAGCCTAAAAATTAAAAAATTTCAAAAATTCAAAAAATTCGCCAAAAATTCGAATCCCATCAGAGGTGTGAAATGTCCTCGGTGTCTTCTTCCTTCCTTCTTTCACACCGACGAAAAACGAAAAAAAAACCAATTTTACGAGCGAACAAGAGAGGAGAAAGCGCCGGAGGGCAAGCGGCGGAAAACGGCCCCGCTTTTTCGCATTTATCCCCAAAAAGAATGGGAAAAAGGGGGAATTAATGTGGCCCCATTCTTCTTGGCCCATGCGTCGTTCCACCGTCCATCACTCTAAAACCCAGCCCGCAAGGCATGACCATCTGGAGGTGGGAGATGTTTCCCGGGTTCGATGGTGTTTTGAGGTCATAAAAATCATCTTTTTCATGATTTTCGAATTCAAAAAGGTTGTATGGCTTCCGAAAAAAAACTAGAAACGATTTTTAGAATAATCTTTGTGATACTAGTCCACCCGCGAAGAAGCTAGAGTGATTTTTGCGACATGCACTGTGCAAAAAGAAAAGGTCACCTTGCACTGTGCAACGTTGCTTTCTGCACCGTGCAATAGAGTTTTTCGGGCTGTCGCTCAAACTCTTACTTTTGACACGTAATGAGCGTCGCAAAGATCACTCCTGCAACTTTACGGACGGGCTACAGTGATGGACCTGATCCAGTGGCAAAAACGTACCATTTTGCATCCGGGAAGTAACAAAAATGTGGCAAAATGCTTCCCTCTCCAAGTGAAAAAACTCCGATTTCAAAAGCGCTCTTTTTGTGAGGGAAAGGCCTTCAAAACAAAGTTTTTTTCACTTTGAGAGGGAAGCATTTTGCCACATTTTCGATGCGTCCCGGATGCAAAATAGTAGGTTTTTTGCCACTAGATCGGGTCCGTCACTGTAGTACAAGAATCTTATTAGAGTTGCACTTTTTCTCTAAAAGGCTTGAAAAACCCGCAGAAAATATAATAAAAATCAGCATTGAAAAATCACAGGGGAGTTCATAAAGTAAAAAAATAATACACGTTCTGGTTGTGACAAAACTTGGCACGCCTTACAATTAGAAGTGGTCCTTTCTATTTAGAAATAAGACCGATTCAAGATTTCAGGCTTGCGTTTTGCAGAAACCTCCGAGATTTTAAGATTGAAATTTCTTATGTTAGATCGTCGGGAAAATAATGAACACAATGTCGCTGTCCCACTTGCTGAAGTGAAAAACATTTGATTTTGCCTCGACTCAATTCAACAGCGATGATGCAATTTTTGGTAGACATTTTGCTCATTATTTCCCCGACAGATTTGCTTTTCAATTTATTTTCAAAATTTCTACCTTTAAAAGTCTATTTGAAAAGACTAACACACCAAAAATAGAGAAGAAAAACGAGCCAGAATTTTGCAAAAAAAAGAAAAGCCAAATTTTATCCGACAAACTATTCTTTCCTTCTAATTTTAACCTCCATTATCGCTTTTATCGCCACTTTCTACTATCTTTTTTGACTACTTTTATTACTCACACAACTTCCTCATTGTTTCCCTTTTTACGGTTGCCGGAAATCCTTAAACCCCTTCCAAATTAATCCTCGAAATTTATTCATCCTGCTAAAGGGATTGCCTATTTTCGGAAGTCCCTTTTTTGGAAGGTGTATCTTGAAAAAAGATTGAGGGAAAAGGGAGCAAAGGAGGTTGTAAATAAAAGATCATAAAAGAAAGAAATCAATTTTGCAGAAAAATCGATTAATAAGTCGGTCGGGAAAATAATGAGCGCAATGTCGCTGCGCCGATGGTGTCGCTGAAATGAAAACCGTGATGATGCCTCGACACAATTCATTTTCTCGGCGGCGAAGTGATTTTCGATGCGACATTGTGCTCATTATTTTCCCGACAGACTGATAGGAAGGGGCATGCTTACAGTAAAAACTTGCAAGGCCAGTGACCAAAACTTGCAAGGCCAATGACCAGAAGTGCGATGCTTAGATTTTACCCAATTTTTGCCCAGGCATCAGACATGGCCGACATATCAATTACTCAAGACTTTAGCTCATATTTTCCGGTGGCAACCGAGATTTTCAAAGGTAAAGAGCGGTCGATTCATCGAGTTCTTAATTCGATATACAAAAAGACGTCTGCTGTAATTATATCAGGGTCCCGGTAAACATCATCGCTTTGCGACGGCTGGAAATTTGGTGCGCGACTGCACCATTTTTTCGACCAGGCGAAACATTTTGCTGCGACGAATCTAGGGGTGAAGCTAGGAAGTTGGGACACGGAGGTACCCCCAGGCCGACGTTGAAGGAAAAAAAATGGTAAAGGGGGGGGGGGCAAGATATAATATTAAAATGTTGTAATGGGGATCCCCAGGCGACCTCCTCCCTCGGAATTTTGGGTCAGCTACGCTCCTGGACAACCCTCCACTAGTTCCTCGACATACTGATAAAACATCCCCAAATATCCCCGTTATTTCCTCCAAACCGCTCTGTTCCAAATTCCTCCAGCAAAAGTTGCAAAACTCCTTGACCAAAACCTCTATTTATAAAACTGACGTCCAAAACGAGGTTGATGGCTCTATTTTTAGAGCCAGTCGGAGGAAAAAAGACGGCGGGCCGAAAAGAAGCGGGGAAAATGACCGACCAAAAACCATACAGGAACAGGTGCCCCGACGCAAAACATGCGAAACATAATATCATTGTATCAAAGCGGGGAGTGCAAATGTTCACAAATTGCACTTCTTTTTTTGACGTTATTGGAATTGGTGACAAAAAAGTAAAAACGATTTTAGAATCTCAATTGTGGGTGAAATACGGTATGTTACAATAACTCAAGGAAAAGTTAACTAACGTTAATAAGAGCTAAAACTGGAAAAAGTTGACATATTGCAAGTCTTCGCCAAGTCTCCGCCGACCGTTCAACAAGTCTCCGCCGACCATCCTACGGCTTTTCCAGGCCGCATAGGCATTTCCTACAACCGTTTCTTGGGTATCCGCCTGCCTTACGCCCAGTAACCATCGATTTTGCGTTGACCTAAAAGTTGGAAAGCCAGAAATGGGATGTCGTCGCCAAAATATTAATATGAAAAAATTTAAAAGTAAAATGATAATAAAGTCAATATTTTTCAATTTTTGGAATATCGCCTATGCCTTCAAAAAAATGAATCTGAACTAGTGCCAAATTTCATCAAAATTTTGGCATCATATTTTGAACATTATGTCTGTTAGAATTCGCTGTCAGCAGGAGTGTTTTCTGAATTTTCCAGGTCAATTCCTCTTCTCCTACACACATCAATGTGGTGCAAAACAAACAATTCAGAATCGACATAACTTGTTTTGCAAACTGAGCAAGAGCAAAAAATGAATGTTATATGTACGTGCTGTTTTATTACCGGGTCAATTTTTTACGGAAAACAAACAGGAATTTAGAAAAGTAGGGTAATTTACCAGCCATAAATAAAAATGCACGTTTTCAGTATCTCGGAAAATAATGTGGATTTGTCGCAGCAAAATGTTGCTTTGTTGCAGTCGCGTACCAAATCAACAGATGCGGCTAGTGTCGCAAAGTGATGATGGGCGATTCCAAGGCGCGACGAATCCACATTATTTTCCCGACAGACCGATTTAAACCAATATTTACCTATAAATTTCAGCACGTCAGGAGAATAATGTGGATTTTTTGCAGCAAACTGCTGAGCCTCGCCACAGTCGCACACCGAATTTCTGCTA